CAGAAACGTCCCACCACCCCTGGTTTTACACGTCTGGTGAAATTTATGGCATCAATTGGACCAGGATCACTCTCTGTCTTCTGCCATCCCAGTCCAAAAGTGACTCTCACCACTTCCTCTTTCCTTTGTGTTTCAAAGAACCCACCCGAGTTTTTCAAAGCTTAGATGTCTCCAGCTTTGAAGGTAAATGAGAAACAGGATTAAAATAAAAGAATGAAATCCGCACACCTGGGAAAATGCCCGTGGCTCCCACTCACAAAACCCCAGAGGAAATGAAAAAAAAAAAACTTTTGTCTGATGTTCTTTCCTTCATCAAAAGCCCAATTGCCACCTTCACAGAGTGTGCACATGAAAAAAATACAACAAATAAACCCAAACCCAAGATGCTTACTGAGCCCAGTGGTTCTCAACCTGTGGGTCGTGACTCACTTGGGGTCGCATATCAGATATTTACATTACAATTAATAACAGTAGCAAAACCACAGTTATGAAGTAGCACTGAAATAATCCTATGGTTGGGGGGTGTTAAAGGGTCGCAGCATCAGGAAACAATGTTGAGAACCACTGTTCCAGCCAGAGTCAGCTCAGACTAGAAAATCCAATTTGATGGGGAATATTAGGATTTGGAGGTGCTGTCCCCCTGAGAATGAGACTCATGTGTTGAAGGCTTGATCCCCAGTATAGTGTTCCCAGGGAACACTTTGGGAAAGTGACCCACGAGGACTCTGACCTTACCAGTGAATTAACATGTATATAGTTGGAATCACTGGGGCAATGCCTTTGAGGAATAGATCTTGTTACCCTCTGTCTCTCTGTCTGTCTGTCTGTCTCTCTCTCTCTCTCTCTCTCTCTCTCTCTCTCTCTCTCTCTCCCTTCCTCCCTCCCTCTTTATCTCTCTGTCTGTGTCTCTCCCTGCTGGTCTCTCTCTCTCCCTCCCTCCCTCCATCCCTCCCTCTTTATCTCTCTGTCTCGCCCTCCCTTCCCACCCTCCCTCCTCACTGCACTGAGGGAAGCATCTTCCTCTACCGTGCATCTCTACCATGCATCTCTACCGTGCATGCTGTCATTAAGTCCTACCTTAACACAAGCAAGCCCTCAGTGATGCAGCTAGCTGACCATGGACTAAACTTCTGAAATTTAAATTTGAGTTTCATGAACCAGAATAGATGTTTGCTCCTTTAAGATGTTTTCCTCTGCTCTTTTATCACAGCAATAATTTAAAAAAAAAATTAACACAGGGAAAGACAGCTTGCAGGAATAAGTGCCTTCTACGCTGGCCAGGAGAGGCGGTGGGCACAGCTGCTGGCCCAACATGCCAGAGTCCAGCTGATGTGCCCTGCTATTCCAGGGGCAGCACTAGCGGCCTGGGAACAGAGGTGCTGCCTTTGCTCTGGTCAACTCTGCTTCCTTCCCGGTGGTCTCTAACCTGAGCCATTCATTGTCACTTTGGTCCCTAAAAAGCTCCTGTTCCTCCACTCTGGCTCCTGACTTGGGATCTTGTACTATTACTACTCTACCTGGCTAACAGGTCAGCCACTCAGAGATTTCACTGACTCCTCCTAAGCTGCCACAGGCCATCACTCACTGATTCCTCCAATCCCATCTGCTCCTGCTTAACTGGGGCAAGCCCTCTGGTCTTGGCTGAGATGCTGGTGAAACTGGACATACTGGTGTAAGAGTTCTAGGTGATCTGATGCCCTCTTCTGACCTCCAAGGGCACCTGTGTGCACCTGGTACAGGCAGATAATCTCAGGACAACCCCCACCCCACCACCACACACACACACATAAAATTAACAAGTAAAAGAAAATTTTAAAACCAGCCAATGGGTACTTGAAGAGGTACTTAACTCCACTAATCAGCAGGAAAATGCAAATCAAAATCACAGTGAAGTATCACCTCCCACCCTTACAATGGCCATTATCAAAATGACAAGAGACAGAAGGTGGCCAAGACCTGAGCAAAGGGACGCAAAGGGACCCCGCCCAGTGGAGGTCTTTCTGCCTCTAAACAAGGGTCTTTCTAAACTGTTCTCTCTGCTTAGCCGGCTCCTCTTCACTTAGTCCCCGCCTCCAGCCCTGGCCAATACAAACCCTAATTATCCTTATCACATTCATTTCATATTTCTTCCGTAGGAAAACCACTCTTCCCCCTGCAAGGCCAGCGTCCTGCTTCTTCCATCATCTGCCAGCCACTGCTAATTGTCTCCCTGTGGCTTCCATAAGTGCAGCGTCTAGTCTGGCTACCCATGTTTGCAGTAGCAGCAGCCAGCTCCAGCAGCTGGCACACAGCCGATGGGGCTTCCTAGACTTGCTGAGGGGGTGGATAAGCTTGACACCTCTGGACTCTAGCAACCATCAGCAAGATGCACTCCCCAGGGCAGAGGAAACATGGAAGCAAACAGAAACCACAGAACAGGAGAGACCGGTGCACAAGGTGCTCTGAGGACAGATTTCTCGGACAACGTGCTCCCAGAGGAAATGGTATTTAGGTGGGACATGGGGATATGGGACTTTGAGCCAGGCCTGCTAACAAGAATGCTGGGGAAGGGGTGACCTGCTAACGGTCACACAGCTCTTGCTGTCTATAAAGCCTCATTAAGAGGAATGTATCTGGAGTACTGACTGCTGGACTCCAGCATCCAGCTCAATGTTTTAACCATTTGTTAACTGACTAAGTGAATGAATGAAGTCGGAGCTGTCAGGAGGGCCTGGGCTAACAGAAAGGCCTCAGCATTGACATCTGAAAGGTTTGATGACCCACAAGGAAGTTAGAGTCCAGCAAAGCAAGCACTTACCGTTTTAATCCCTGGAGAACAAGTATGGTATTTATTAGCTTTAATATACATTTTTATGCTGTAAGGGCTCGGGCCGTAGTTGTTATATTGTTTTTATTGTCACTGACAAATGTTCACTTTGGGAACTTAAAAATATCTTTAAACAGAGAGAGCAAACGAACCTTTTAATGTGAGACCTCACCCCGACAGACAGTTTCCACACATTCACACTAATTATGGAAATTGTTAGGCACTAGACAACCGGAAGTACAGAGCAGGCCTTGTTTCTGGTTTTGTAAAAGAGGAAAACAAGAATGTACCAGCAGCCACTCCAGACAAGGCACACAGAGAGGTGAGAGGCAGGTGGCTCGGAGACAATTTGGTCCAACTGAGATGTAAGGAGCCCTGCACAGGCTAAAGGCAGATTGGACGCCTCCCCCAGGGGAAGAGCTTGGATGCAAACCCGAGAGCCTAGTTCAACCCGTCACGGAAAGTTGTCTTTTGATCTCCACATAGTGGACCTATGGAATCTCTACTGAGTAAGATAGGAGCTGGATCCAGAGCTTGTGAGGTCGGGCAGTGCACAGAAGCCCATGCAGAATCGACCCCTTTTTCCTAAGCTGGAACATCCCAGAGAAACCAGTGCTGCCGAGCAGACATGTGAAATCCCTTGAGTCCTGCATTGTCCATCTCTCAGTTCCAGGTTCTAAGCTGTAGGCAGGATCTAGGCAGGAGGCAATGGTTAGGCTTTGGATGTCTCACTAAAGAAAGAAAGCATCCTTGCCCATGAGCACCCTCCTGGTGTGCTTGCTCATTAAGCTGTCTTGTTGCCGTACCCAGGTGCTAAGAGCTGTGGGCATCGAGCACTGTTAAGTACTCAGAGCAGTCAGTCTTTGGCTGTGTTAGTCGTGAGTTGATGCATCCTGTCCTCCTCCTTCCTGCACTCGTCCCAGAGGAGGCCCAGAGAGGCCTCTATATACCCAGGAAGCATCTGGGCCACCCTCCATCCCCCTCACCCATCACAGGCGGTAGGTACCATGGACTCGGTTTCCTTCCAGTTCTTGACCAAGGCACAGTTCCCTAACCCCAGACACTGCTGGCTCTGGCCCCATGTGCCGGCAGCCACGGACTCCTACTGGACTTCTGAGCCAGCCTCATCCTCCCCACTCCAGTTTGTTCCCTTTCCTTTACCTCCTCATAGCCCCTTCTGCCATGGGCCTGGCTACACCACCACCGCCCTGCTGCAGTCTCCCTGGAGTATCCTGCTGGGCTCAGTGAGCAGCCCCTCACCTTCGCCCTCCTCATGCATCTTCCTCGCCCACATGGTTCACTCCTGCTCTCTTGGTGCCAGACCCTCTCAGTTACTACCACAGACACTGCTTTCATCTGGAGGCCTCTTCCGTTGTCTCATCCTGTCTCTGTGCCTTCTCCTCTCTCAGACCCCATGTCTACTCCCTAACCCTCACGTGGGCATGCTCTAAGGCTTACCTCACTCTATACCAACCTAGATGAACATAATTCTTTGCCAAGCCCACCAAGTAAGTACGTTGTTGAGCTGAGATTCTAATCCTTCCTGTTCCTCATACAGCAAGGCAAATTAGAAGACTGAACAATTATTTAGGGAAAAAAAAAAGACCAACTCAAGATTGTGGTAGAGTTAGTGAATTTCTTGGAAAGACACACAAAGATGTGTAAAATGAAAAAAGCAAGCTTACAGAACCATAGGTATGTCACGATCCTATGAAAACAACACAACTACAACTAACCAAATATTCGGGTAAGAAGCATATAGTTTTTTTAGATTTTATTTATTTATTATGTAAACAGTATTCTGCCTGCATTTATGCCTGTAGGCCAGAAGAGGGCGCTAGATCTCGTTATAGATGGTTGTGAGCCACCATGTGATTGCCTGGGAATTGAACTCAGGACCTCTGGGAGAGCACCCAGTGCTCTTAACTGCTGAGCTATCTCTCCAACCCCCAAGCATAGAGAGCAAAGCCTGTATAAATGCACATTTAGCTGTTGTCATTGGTTAATGAGCTGTGGACTTGAACCTAAGGTTTGAGTCTTTGTGTAATATTTATGCTCTAAGAATGTGTCCATGAATATGTGCCACACGAGCCCTCAGGAATCGCCACCTCAGAGAGGAGACTTCTAAGGGCTCCCTGTGGCCTGGTAACAATGAGAGGAAAGCAGCTATGGCTGTCCGAAAAGCCACACGTACCTTTCCCAGGAGCTCAGGCAAGCCCAGCAGCTGCCCAACAAACACGCCGATGCAGATGAAGATGGCGGTCACCTGGCCCAGTGAGCCTCGGATCTCCTTGGGGGAGATCTCATTGAGGTACATGGGGAGCGCACTCAGTGCGATGCCTGAGGAAAAGACACAGCAGTGAGAGAGGCCCTGGCTCACACGTGGTCACAGGAAGAGCACTTACAGGTGCTGATGTGTCTCCTGCCCACGACACCAAGACCACGGGAGAGCGCATGTCAGCTCACGGTGGTGATAACTGTCACGGGGGAAGAAGAAGTATGGGCCACAGTCATGAGTGTGTGCGGTACTTTGAATGAGAAAAGTCCTCCATAGGCTCCAGCATTTGCACATCTATTCCCCAATAGGTGGGTGGTGCTCTTTTGGAAGGTTTAGATGGTGTAGCCTTGCTGGAGGAAACACATCACTGGGGGCGGGCATTGAGATTTCAAAGCCTTGTCTACTTCCAGTGTTCTCTGTCCTCTCTCAGCTTCCTGCCTCTGCTGCTACACTGGCTGCTGTGCCTCTCCACCAGGACAGACTCTTTTCACCCTGAAACCATAAGTTGTAATAAACTCCATTCACAAGTCACTTTTGGTCTTAGTATCTTTGTCACAGCAACAGAAAAGGAACTAATACAGTATAGCGTTAACCTCTCTAGCTCACCAGCGCCATAGGGGTGAGAGCAGACAGGAGGGAACTGCAGATACTCAGCATGCAAACACTGCTATTTGCTTGTAGCTGACCTTTTCCTTAGAGAGCAGGAGATGCAGTGGCCTTGTGAACATGTGACCTCCACTGAAGAGATAGCAGTGATGAGAGGAGAGTGTAGAGGCCATAGGAGGGGCACCGGAACACTGTGAAACTCAGGGACGAGGCTAATCTCTACATAGCAGGGCAAGACTGAACTGTGAATGGCTAAATTCATTCTGATTCTTTATAAAAAATACGATAGCTCGAGACAGTCCAGAGAAGGGCGATTGTGTGGCGTGATGACCACCTGATTTAGGATAAGCCTGTGTTTGAGTCTCTGATGCATCCGGGCTTGCCTGCTACCATCTATCCAGGCTGACTGGTCCTCAATAAGCATCCCCACTCCTAAGCAGCCTTGTTCAACGTCTGACCCTCCCCCTGCCATCCATCCCCCCTCGATGTGTGAACCTCAGGGTTCAGTGAGGCTCTAGCCCATTGTGTCCTTGAAGACTGACCTTGGTTCTTCTGTTTTGAACCCTCTGTTCTCAGAGATCCTAAGCTGATTCCCACCTATGCTTCCTGTTTGAGTTCAACATCCCCTCCTACGGTAGGAGATGGATTTGTATCTTCCAAATCATGTTCAGTCTCTACCCTCTATTACCTATGGCCGACATTATCTAGTGAGAAGGTCTTTACCGACATCATTATACCTGGATGAGGTGATAATGGATGATAGGTTGTTAAAAACATTAATTATTTCTGAAACTTTCCATATTCTTAGCAACAAGAACCATGGAGATTCTACTTGTAGCTGTCATGGCTTGTGTTCTGGGAACTCCTACTGCGGCCGATGGGAAACTTTACCATAGGGAACGTGGGCAGCTCTGGGAAGGTCATGCCTGGGCCATGTCCAGTTCAATCTTCCACCAATGCAAAATTCCTGCTTTAAATTCTGCGGTCTATGTGAATTTGTCTCCAATGCCATATTGAATCATAATTATTTCTATATAAAAAGTAGCATGTTGATGTTTCTCTAAATCTCCTAGGGAAAAAAAATCAAAGGTGTCCTATATTTCTAATCTGACTCAAATGCGCCACGAGAAACTAGGCAAACGTTCTAGAATGTTCAGGACTATCAATAACATGGCTTTAAATTCTTTGTTTTGCTTTGAAGTAGAATCTCAGATAGACCAGGCTGGCCTTGAACTCACTGGGCAGAGGAGCCTGTCAAAACTGACCTCAAACTTCTGCTCTTTCTGCATCCTTCTCCCATGCGGGTTGTACCACCCCATCTGGTTTTATATGGTGTTGGGTTGGGTTTCATGAACGCCAGACAAGCACTCCACCCACTGAGTTGTGTCCCCATCCCTGGACTTAAATTCTTTATTATAAGCACACAGCCGATCTAATTCAGGTCTAGTAGTTTTCCTCTCTTCCCTTACCTTAAACGCCCTCGTTTTGCTCTCTGTGCTCTAATGGTTTGGAGAGAAGAAATGGCATGGCATCTCTGGGGCTTGGCACAGCTCCAGGAGGCTGTGTTCCAGAAGTCAGGGTGTGTTTTAAAAGTTCCCCCATTCTTCCTTTTCTTTTGCTTCTTTTCTGAACAGCTCACAGGAAAGGGGCCTAAAAGGCGTTTGTTTTGGAGTCTGTGGCTGTGATGATTCGGAGAGCAACAAGTGCAGCATGCTTCTGCGAGGCAGGCAGAGCCGAGGAGAAAGCGGCTGATGAAATATTAAAAACCCCCAGAGAAAGCAGAGCAGGGGCCTCATTGGTGAGGCTGTCAAGCAACCTTCTTCTGTCTTGCTTCCAATCCTGGATCTGCCCCTTCCAAGCTTAGCATCAAGCATGCTGCAGCAGCTCTCAGGACGAGAGTATCCCCCACCATGCCTGCGGCAGAGGCAGGCAGGCTTGGCTCCTGCTGGACTGAGCACTTTACGCAAAGGATAATTCTGGCATTGTCCAAAGAGGGCAGGCTTGCTATTTGGTCCCTCCAGGGAGCAGCAGGGGGAGACTCAGACAGTTAGGAAGGCTGCCGTGCTTGGCCCCACTGCAGGCACATCCCCAGCTGGACCTCTGTCTGCTCTTATCATGGGCCTTGCTTTGGCCAGAGTGACTGTGGCTAATGTATTGCACAGCATTTGCACGTTAAGGCTTCCTCCTCCTGCTGTGCTCTAGAGCCCGTGGAATTCCATGGGAAGAAACCCCACTCTGCTGGGTGAGACCCCTCTACTCGTGGATTCTATCTCAAGTGAGAAAGAGAGCCCAAACTGAGCTGACAAGATTGAGAGTACACAATGCAGTAGATGGGCGGGCTCATCGGGTAAAGGTGATTACCACCAACCAAGCCTTTTGACCTGAGTTCAATTCTAAGCCTGCAAGCCATCCTGTGGCTCCCACATATACAGACTGACAAAATCAATAAAAGTAATTTTAAAATATTGAGAATATAAAACACGTAGAGCTGACTGAGGCTTAGAAACTTTGCTCAGAGATCTGCAGGTTTAGGGAAAAACCTAAAAGCTTTAATCTGTAAACCTCACTCCCTGGGCAGAATCTGGCCACTCCTCTCTGCCTGCCCTACCACACAGTCTTGCCCAAGTCATGCAGGCTGTCCCTGGTTCTCCTGAGCCCACTCCTGGATCCACTATACCCAAGTGCCCAAGAGGTGGCCTTGACTCAGGAAACAATCTGTGCCCTCCCCTCTCAGCCCTTTCTGACTTCCCCTCATACTCGGCACCAACACTGGGTCCTAGCTGAGGGCTGCACTGTCTGGTTCTGGCTACCTTTCGTCCTCAGCTCCCACACTCTCCTCTTCTCCAGGCTCCAGCCTTCTTGGCCCCTCACTCATCCTCAGAAATGCCAATCACCTTCCTTGTCAGGCCCACAGCACTCCCGTCTCTGCTGAGAGCCTGGATCCTCAGATTTTCACTCATTTTTCAGTCTCGGCTCATTCTGGTCTCTGCTCACCTTTACCAGTCCTTCTAACTGGCTTTCCTGCAAAAACAAAAACCTCCTTGCTAGCCTGCCTTCTGCCCTGCCTTGTTTGCTTCCTGGGCCTTGTGCACAATAGATGCCGTTTGCGCCAATGGCTGCGTTCTCCCCAGCACACAGCACATGGGGCATAGTCAGGAATCTAGCACTTGGTGAATGAACAGGAGACTGAACGGTCAGAAGCTCAGAAGCCTTGGGCGAGCCGCGTCTTCCCACCTAGACTATGGATTTTATAAAGAAGGCAGCAGACACACTGTAAAAACTAGCCTGTTTTGTTTTTTTTTTTTTTCCAGTTGGATGCTATAACACTCTGTAGAGGGACATTTAGCTACTAAGTGGAGTTCTAGAATCTTGGCCTCTTCCAAGTCTGTCTGAGCTCCAAGCACCTCTCCCCATTCCAGACAAGCCCTGGAAGTACCCTCCTCCCCAGTTGGGCTGAAGTCTCACCTCCATCCACGCCCATGATGAACCGTCCCACAATGAGCATTTCAAAGGCTCCTGACTGGAGTGAGCAGGCCATTAGCAATGATGCCAAAATTGCAAATCCATTATTGGCCAGCAGCGTGTACTTCCTGGAAGGAGAAGTGGCTTGATGAGGACAATGCATTATGAGGCACATGTCAGTGGGGTCTGTCCTCCCCAAAACAGAGACACCGGTCCCATCAGAAGGTCAATCGAGTGAGATTCAGGTGGTGAAATAAGCATGACCTTAGAAATTAGGGTCATGAGTCACCCCCAGTCTTAGCTGTATGACCTTGAGCCTGGCATCCACTCCCTGTTTCTCTGTTCACGATGGGGTAGACAGGGGGCACTGTCAACTAGAAAGCTATGGATTCCTTGTGGAAGGATTTTATTTCACCAACTCTGAGTTTCATTTAGCATTTATCAAGATAAGGTGTAAGTCACAATGCAGGAGCTGGGCTAAGCAGAAAAACAGAAAACACTCAGTATTCCAGTGGAAAGACGTTAGCATGGGGCGTTGGATAACCATGTTAGAAGAGTGATTTATGTAAAGATTCTCTGAAAAGGGAGGTGCCGCTCTGGGGTGCTAGTGCCTTAGAGGCTCAGGAGGGCATCCCTGAAGAGCTGGCTCAGAGTGGTACAGATCACTGGTACCACCTCTCTGATGGGCACTTAGTCTGCCTCTCGGGATTGGACAAAAGCTGGAAACTAGAATCAGTGGCCAAGGAAAGTAAGGCAAACAAAAACAGGCCAGAGTGTGGTGTCCAGACAACAGCTGGACAGTCTGCGTGGCCTCCTATAGTTCTAGCTGGTGGACCTTCTGTTTCTCTTCCCTCTCTCCCCTCCTCCCTCCCTTCCTCTCTCCCTCCTTCCCAATCTCCCTTCCTCCCTCCGTCCTCCCCTTTCCCTCAATAAAACAATCATATTTTTTAATACTCTATAGGCACCTTAGATCTAATGAACTACAGATCTAAAGCTGGATTGGAACCATCAAAGAGCCAGACAAATTCCCTTGACAATAATTACTCTTACTGCTATGTGTTGGGATAGCTGTCTGTTTCAAGAATGTGTCCTTAAGCCTTCACAGTGGAGATTCCTGCTTTCCTTGGGGGCGGGGAGCTGGATTCTGCAATGGCCCTGTCTTTGAGGAGTGAGGGGGCTGTGTTTTCTTTTCCTCTCCTGCCAGAACCAACGCAGCAGCTCCCATGTGTTCAAGCCTTGATGCGTAACAGGCTCTAAGCTGAGCACCAGATATGACAGAGGCAGGGCTCTTCCATACTTATGTCATACCAAGTTAACCAGGATGCTGATGAGTTAGGGAGTTGAAGAGTTTAGGAAACACCCTCTCTTTGCACCTCCCCAACAACAGCAGCAACAACCACTAGGTAAATTAAGAAGCCTCATATTGTTTTGTAATTTATGAGAAGCAAAGGGTTTTCGAAGGAGAATTAGTATTCCCTTTAACAGTTAGATTTCTTGAGCTCCAGGACAACTGTCTCTGTGACTTCTGCCTCATGTAAGCATTTGAGTGAAGTTCCCTCCCTTTCTGCATCTTCCTCGACAATCTCACAGTCGCTGCCTTTTGCATCTGTGGCAGTGGTACCAAGATACTCACAACAGCATCCTACAGCAGCAGATGGTTGGAACGGCCCAAGTGTTCACTAATAGTAAACTAAGCTGTAGTGTGTTCACATGGGTGCTGTGCCACAATCAAATCAGGAGGGGCTTTCTATACTCTGTGGTAGGAAGAGAGAAAGGCCAAAGTGCAGAGTTTAGTGTAAACCATGCCGCGATATGTGTGGAAAAAGATGTGTGACTCTGTACTTGTGTGCATGTGCTATGTGCATGTGCTATGTGCATGTGTGTACTTGCGTGTCTGTCTTTGTACGTGAAGACACCCAAATTTGTAGCCCTGGGTGTCTCCAGAAAGGACTAAGGGAGTGGAGAGCAAGTGTTAAAAGGGAACCCTGACCTTTGTGCCCATTGAGTCCTTTAGCAATCGAAGCCACATGGATGTGTTAATTAGCCAAAAATGATGGGATTTAATATTTTAAAATCTAATTTAAACAGACTTTATTATGGGAAAACAGTTGTGCTTGTGATATACCAAGATGGTTAAACATGCTTAGCGGGTGTGTAGATATGCTACATGACGGGGCAGTTTGTGTCCCAGGATGGAGTAGGACAGTGTGTGATTCATTTATCTATTCAGAATAGCAATTAATCTAAAACTTATCCACTGTTTGCTTCTGGAATTTTCCACTTATTATTTCCCAATACAGCTGACTTCAAGTAACCATAATCAAGGAAAGTAAAATCCCAGACAACAGAAGCTAGTGTGTGTGAACAGGACAGTGTCTGCTGTTAACCTGTTTCTTCTCCATCCTTCCTCCTTTCTCTGCCTTGCTGTAGGATTGGTGTGTAAGGCCTCCCAAGGAAGGGTGGAGAAGTCACTTACAGGGTCCCTATCACACTCTCTGCTCACATTACTGAGTGTGCATCTTCCCTAGGGTCCCAGCTGTGCTCCTAGTAACTGTGCCCTGTAGTGTGTGGCCCTGGCCTTCGGACTCCAGGAAGGCTGCCTCTCCATTTTGACTTTCCATCCCAGAGATGGGAGACACTTGGATGAAAAAGGAAAAAAAAAAACCCACCAAAATTCTGACAAACACAATTCTCTCCTTGTAACTTCCATGTATGATCCCTGTCTTGACCCTTAGGCCCTCACAGGCCCAACCCTATTGGTAGAGTCTCATCGGGGAGGCGAGACACAGTGTCCTCTGACCTGGCCAAGACAGTGTGTGCTTATCCCGTGGACAGAGAACTAAGAAGCCTGATTAGAAATTAAACCCAGCTCACTCACAGACATCTCTCCATGACATCAGCACCGTTAAGGTGGGTGTTTTAGCTGGAGGATGTGGGAGAGAAAGCCATGGAGTAGGTCTTCCGTGAGTGGCTCTCAAGTCTGGCTGCTCCTCGGGCTCACCAACAGTGCTCACAGACAGTCACCTGATGTGTGGTGAGAGAGGGGTGTGCTCAGGAATGTGTGGTTAGCCAGTGACATCGTAGGCAACATGGAGAGCGCTGAGGGTGAACTAACTGTCTCTGGTGCCTCCTGCTGGTAACACTTTCAGCCATGGTAGCTCATACGGAGATGCTCCCAAGCCACCCTTTCAAAGCCAGCATGATGTGCGGCTATCATAATGATGCTACCTAACAAACCCGAGCTTCACTGTGCAGCCTTAAACACTGTATATTCACTGTATAAGTCACCTTGTGAGTTATATAACTGTTTCAAGTGTGTGGGGTTTTTTTTGTGTGTGTGTTTATATCTGTGCACTGCATAAGTGCCTGCTGCCCGCATAGTCCAGAAGAGGGCATCAGATCCTCTGGAGCTGGAGTTATATACAGTTGTGAGCCACCATGCATGTGCTGGAAACTTGGAGCCAGGTTCTCTGAAAGAGCATGGAATGGTCCTAACCATGGAGCCCTCCCCCTCTGGCTTCAAGTTGGATAATCTTGAGAAAACAGACCTGCAAGCAACTTAGTCAAGACCACACTGCTGAAGGAAGATCTAGCACCCCAGGGACCATGACACAATCTGCCTGCACATTTATCTGCCATAGTCACTCACAAATAGGATTTATTCTCTCTACAAACATCCATTCATTCAACACAGAACTGAGCACTGAGCACCACTCTAGATTCAGGCTTATAGGACAAACACAGTGACATCTTTATTCTAAAGTCTTCCCAATAAACAACACAGAACATATTACATGCCAGTTGGACTGATGCTGTCAAAACAGCTGAAGCAGGGAAGGGGGTATCATTTTGCACAGAGTGGACCAGGAAGTCTGTCTTGAAAGACAGCATGAGAGTGAAGGTGTGATGGAGGGATGGATAGCTAGCCAGGAACAGCCAGACATCTTGGAGGTCAGTATAATTGGAGACAGTGGCAGACCAGGGAGGCAGCAGCAGAAAGTGGGCAGGTAGAGAGGAGTGACAGAGGTGTCCCTGGGGAGTGCGCTGGGATACCAGGAGGTGTGAGTTTTCCACCCCTGGCGAAGGAGGTGGCCACAGATGACAAAGAAAGGATCAACTTGGCCTGACTTTTAATAAGACTGCTCGGTCTTTGGAGCAGTTCATGGCCAGGAGGGGGCAGAGTGGAGTCAGGAGGTCATTGGAGGAGCTATCACAGCAGTGTGAGCAACGCTGGCCAGGCTGACAGCAAGGTAGGCTGTGAGAAGCATCAAGATCCCAGCATATGTTCAAGACAGACCTGTTGGGATTCGCTGCTGGGCAGACAGAGGTGAAGAGCGAGGGAGAGGCCAAGATGTCTTCTGAGGTTCTAGCTTGAACCTCTGCACTGTGCCCAGCAGCGTCTTTGGTGCCTTGCAGGAAATGTTAGTCACATCTGAGTCAGACAGGAAGCGTTTGCAAACAGGGACGCACCCCCTCTAGCAACTTCATCATATTAAATCTTCCTTCCCAAAATAGCCCCGGCCTGACAGCCTCCCAGAGAGGATGGAAACCTTATTCGCAAATAATTCTCAAAGCTGACGACTCCCTGGGGCTCCAAGGTAGACTTTAATCATCACGTTCCCATTTTCTCCCAAGGATGAACATAGCAACACAAACAAGGGGCATCAGTTTTGAGAGCAGAATCCAAGAGTCCCCTGCAACTCCGCCCATGGTGCCCGATTCACTGCTGGATGCTTCTTCAATGGTGTCTGCTCTTCCCTGTGTGACTCAGAAGATCACTAGCTCTCAAGCAGAGAGGAAAAGTGGGGGGTGGTGGGAGGTGATGGGCAGCGGGTCCTTGAGAAAGGTTCAGCATGAGGAGACTTGAACTGGATAAGGGCAGGTCAGGGAAAGCCCGAGAGCAGCCTTCTACAGGCTCAGCCTTTACAGGCTCGGGATTTGTGGGTGGAAGGCTTCCTATTCTGGTTTACATTTGTGAAGCACTTGTCAGTGCGCCCTAGTGAATGGACAAGTTGTGTGTGTGTGTGCCGTCTGCCTCCACGGGTCCTGTGGCAACTCTAAAGCCATGATAGGCCAAGATGGTATCTTGCTCTGCATCAATCATCCTTTCCTGTTTTCCTGGCTTGAA